TGAAAATCAGTTTAAACTATCTACATTGAAACTCAGTAAAAATAACATAAAAGAACTGTCTCAAGAAATATTTCAAAATTTAGTTGAATTAGAGAAACTAAATCTTGACTCAAATTTAATATTTAAAATACATAAAAATTCCTTCAAAAACCTGCAAAAATTATCATTTTTAGATTTAAGTCATAATAATATTTCATTCTTACCAAATGAAATATCATTTAGTTCTAACAGAAACTTAAAAACTATTAATTTTTCATTTAATAATTTAACTTTCATTCCTTATACTTTCTGGCCTAGAAATGTAAAAACACTTAATATTACAAATAATCAGTTAAATTATTTTTCAATACCAGTAATTAATTCAAATACTGTAGTTTTTCTTCAAAATAACAAGATTAAGAATATATCTATCAAAAAAATTAAAATATACCATCCTAAAAATTCTTCATTTTTAAATTCTGAAAATTTATCACACTTTTATTTTCAAGGAAATCCTCTACATTGTGATTGCAATCTCCACGATTTCATTAATTATATTAGAGATGAAACGTTTATACATTCAGTTAGTTTTCCCGATATAGAATATCTTAAATGTTACTCTCCGATGCAATTAAATAATAAAAATATTCTCTCTATTTCAGATAATAGTTTTACTTGTCAAATAAAAAATGATTGTCCTGCATATTGTTCCTGTTATATGAAATATGATTCTGCTGTTATAGTAAACTGCAGTAGCTCTCATCTTATAGCTTTACCTTCTCCATTACCTTTTAATTCAAGTATAGTTTACTTAAATAACAATAACATAGTTCATTTAGATTTAAATAATTCACAATGGGAAAATGTGTCTGAAATTTATATTAGTAATAATAAACTTAAAACAATAGCAAATGTTAAAATGGCTAAAAATTTGAAATTATTAAATTTACAGAATAATTTATTAACAACATTTGATAATATAACTGAAAGCAATTATAGCTTATATCTAGGAAATAATCCTTGGATTTGTGATTGTTCTACTTTATTATTTAAAAACTGGCTGAATGATAATTATCAGAAAATACATGATATAAATAATATTACATGTAATTTCCTTGAACTTGGAAATATAGCCATAACTAAAATTTCACCTAACAGATTCTGTAATATATACCAAATGCAGAAAATTATTATTGTATTATGTTTATGTTTCTTACTAATTTTTCTGTTAATCATGATATCTACTTTTTATTACCAATATAGACAAATTATAATTGCATATATGTATATACATTTTAATGCAATTTTTCATTGTTTGTACAATGAAAAAGAACTTGAAGAAGACAAATTATATGATGCTTTTATTTCATATAGTCCAGCTGATCAAGATATTGTTGCATGTATGATTGAAGAGTTAGAAAATTCTAGTCCCTATTATAAATTATGTATTCAAGATCGCGACTGGCTAGCAGGAAATTTTATTAATTGCAATATAATCAGTTCAGTAAAAAATAGTAAAAAAACTATACTCATTCTTTCAGAAGACTCTCTTAAAAGTATATGGTGTCAAACAGAGTTTCGTGTGGCATATCACCAAACATTAGAAGATAAAATTGACAGACTTATTATAGTTATTAGAGGAGAATGTCCTATGAATAAGTGCCTTGATAAAGATCTCAAGTTTTTCCTTTCTACAAAAACATATTTGAAATGGGGAGAAAAGTGGTTTTGGGAAAAATTACGGTATGCAATGCCACATTGTAAAAGAAAAAGACATGTTATAAAAAATTCCTCAAGATCAATTATACAAAATGATAATTTAATTATTAAATTTAATAAATCTTTTAAATCATTCTATGATAAATCTGAAGAAGAAGAAATTCTTACAGAATCTGAAAATGTTAATTCATCAGTATTAAATGCAGAAATAATAGATATCAAAATAAATTTATGATATTTATGTGTATTAATAAAATAAATTGTAAATAAAAATCTCAAATTTTAAAATATATATTATATTTTTTTATTGGCTGTATATGTGATGCATATATCATATATATTGTAAATATTTCTTTTCTTGTATGTATATTGTGAAAAACAGTTTTTATTTTAATTTTATGTGTACAAATACATAAAAATTTGTAAATAAATATGTAAATTATTTTTTAACGTTTAAATTGCAATATAAAAAATTTTAATGACAATATAAAACAATCATACATAATATATAACTCAAAATATAATATTAATCTAAATGTAATTAATTGTTATCTCAAAATAAATTCTCTTATTTTTGTTTTTATTAAATCTGTCATTTACGACTATTAAAAAGTTGTATCTCCAAAATAACAAAATTAAATTGACTATAAACAAAAAGTAAGCTGAGTGCATGAATTTAATATTTATAATTATTATATTAATTTACATTCTTATTTTTTATATGATTCTGGTGCAGCTAAAAATACCATTTTGATGCAATCAACTATTGCAATTCATCTTACTATGACATTTAATATTTTCTATTTAAAACATAGCAAATGAAAATATGTAAATTCTTGTTACTCTTATTAAGATTAATTTCTTATTACAATAAGTATTATAAGTATTAGTTAAAAAAATTATACAGTAGAGCGTCGTTTATCCGAATCAATTGGGGACTGAGGTTGTTCGGATAACTTATTTTTCAGATAATCGATTATGTATGAAAAAATATATTAACCTATCCCGTGTTGAAATTTTTCTCTGTTGCGTGTCGCTTTGCGTTGAATTTTCATCGGTGTTAAGCCTAACATAAACGTTTTAAAATAATAATCGTGGCTATTGTATCGTTAAAAATTATTTCTTTATTTTGTACAAACAAAATAAATATATTTAAAAATATAAAAACAAATAAAAAATTATACTTCAGAAGTTAATTTAGTATCAAAAACGTAAAATATTTGAGTAGCCCAAGACATAGCCAAAGATTGCAGCGCCACAGCACTAGCGAAAATTAAAATTTGCCAACTGGAATGCTTTCAGATAACTGACTTTCGGATAAACGACGCTCTACTGTATCATCATTCCATTTGAAAAATTTAAGATTTATTCTAAAATTTAACCTTTACACAAGAACATAATTGATTATGAATTTTTTTATTTGACAAATTTAATTATAATAATTATAAATTTTTGCTATTTAAATATCAAACGTACTGTACCGTACATAATATATTAATGTTCATTTCATGACATAGCAGTTAGCACTAAAGCAATTCAAGGCATGCAATTAATACTAAAACAATAAATGTTAAAAAAAAATGAATATCTAAATTTGTTTGAAATAAAGCTAAGTAAATATAAAACTATAATGTATGAAAGCACTTAAAGTCCTAAATAATGTTTTAATTAAATAAATTTTAGTTTAATATTAACATTAATTTTCATAAACTTTTCACAAATTTGTAAAAACAAAAAAACTGAAATATTAAAATATTAACTTAATTTCCAATCATCACAATTTTAAGGGTTATGATAATTGGAAATTAAGTTTTTGTTTTACTTTTTTGCTTATTAGAGTCTAAAAACCATATGTAACTTATTTTTACTCTTATAAATAAATGCTTTCAGATTTATCTGTCCCTCTCCAGAATACAATTCATCATATTCTATTCAGACATACTAATTTTGGAACACTTCAAAATCCAACTAACAATGTGCATGCTCTTTTCCTATGCAAACCATTACACTATTTTTTCATGTACTTTATGAAAACTATTCTTCTATCCTTTTCCCTTGTTACTTCTTCACTAGCTATCTCCAAAGCACTGATAAATTATTGATATTCATTCCTCAAATTTTCCTCTTATATTTTTACTTTTTCTGTCATCAACAAGTTCATCTCATCTTGAACCAACATTAAAAATTTTCACTCCCTCAATGTCTACATTCATATCTTTATCACAAGCCATCATTCTACGCATTGTATTCCCCTTATCTTTCCTTATATTCTCAATATGTTCTTTCATCTGCATTTCTAAATTTTGTTTCTACACCTATGTAAAACTTTTTACTACCATACTTTTCAATTGGAATCTTGTACACATCTCTTCTGTTGTAATGCTTGAGTCTCTTTTTTCATTTGTAACATGAAAACTACATTCCATTTTTTTAAAAACTATTTCTTTAGCAGCTTCCCTCTCTAACACAAGCTTTTATTTTTCCATTCAACATAGTAAATGGGTACCCATTCAGTTATTTTTTCTTTCCCTTTCTTTTTTGCTTTTTCCAAATAAGCAGAAAGGTAGAGTTTGTTGGTTTATTATGTTATTATACATGAAAAAATCATATGCAAACTGCAAAATTAGATATTTGATTATAAAAAAGTAATTTTACTTCAATAATTAAATTATTCATAGTAATTTAATATAGAAATTAATTTATCAATGAATAATAATATGGATATTTTAAATAATTTTTTTAAATATATAATTACATCAAAATTAGTTTAAAATACTGTATATTAAAGCATAATTGGAATATTTAAAAATAATTTTTTCAAATACATTAAAACTTTTATTAATTAAGGTAGATGTTAAAAATAGCCCAATGAATTAAGGCAATTGTTTGGCTTAGTATATTAAAAACGAAGACACCTGTGTTTAAGTTAACTTTATTCATTTTTTTCAAATTATTTTTAAATATAGTTCATTCTAAAGAAACTTGGATCTTTTATATTTGAAAAGTTAAATATAAAGTAACTAAAAATTAAGTATTTAGAATTTATATGCAAATCAAACTTCTATCACAAGTTATAAACTTATATTTAGTAAATTATTCTGATGAATTGTGAAATCCAAACATAAATTTAATGTCATCAATAAAATCAATTCTTATCTTAAAATTTCAAATAAACTTAACCCCATTTAGTGACAGATTTATACTAATAGAGAGATAGACGGAAAAATTTTATTTTTCCATCTGTCATTATTAATTTAAACTTTTCATTATATAATAATATGATAGTAAAATTTACAACTTACCTTATTATCTTCCCAATATTTGGCAAGAACTCTATTTCCTTCCTTTGGTATAAACTGTTGTTCATTATTCTTATAAGGCACCAATGTGGAAGAATAAAACATATGATCATTACAGCTATCTGTCCAATTTGATTTCTTTTCCACAAACCTTTCATTTTCATCACAAAATCTATTTCTACTAGATTTATTATGTAACATTCTTCCATCTGAGTAATAAGGTTTTGATTCAGATCCTAAATTTTTCTCACAATTCCTATTTTTCATTTTATCTATATCTCTAAAATTTCTAGTATTAGTTCTAGTATGATTATCATTTAGTTTTCCAGAACCTTTATCATGTAATCTATCATTGTTTGATTGAGACAAATGAAAATTTTCTGATTCTCTAGGTATATAATTATTTTTCTTTGAATTTGTCCTTTGATCTTGATAAGAATTTTGTCCAGTCTTCTTAAATTTTTCATATTTTTCTTTTCCAAACTGTGATTGTAAGGTATTTCTAACATCATTATTTGACTCCTGAAATGTTACAAATGAAATATTTTGAAATTTAAATATAAATTTTCTAACATATTTTAATTTTTTATTCAAATATTAGACTTCTTAATATAATGTATAGAATAAACAAGTTAAGAACAGTGAAATATAGCAAGTATTTTTTTACTTAACTATTTGAATATGAAGTTCAATCTCATAATAAAACTGATGATATCTTTGTTGAAGTCATACAACATTAATGGATGACAGAATTAAAATGTCAAGATGTAAAACATCAAGTGTATGCAGATTTATTTGGCACTGATATTTTCAATTAAAAATGTTAGCTTTGTAGAACAGGATGATAGTATGTTATCTAATCACTGATTATTGCTCTCAATCAAGGAAACATATACAAATGAGCTTTATTTTGATCATCATCTCTGAATCAAACAATACCATATATTTATAGGAAAAAAAGCATTAAAACGTTGAAACTGATCAAGGAGTGAAGTTTTGTTCTGAATTAAACATCTTTTAAGTCATCAATGTTTCAACCTCAGATCAAATACTTAAGAACATTAAATTTGAATAAAAACAATTTCTTAAGAATATTCTTTTATTACAAAACTTTAGAATAGTTCAAAAATGAAATAATAATACATTTAAAATATCTGAACTAAATTAAAATAGTATTTAAAAAAATAACTAAAATTCATATCTACTATTTAGAAAACAAGATAAAACAAAAGTCATTCACATGGTCTTAATGATGACATTAGCCACACCCATGGATCATCATTACCCATCACTACCTCTCTCATCTTTTTAGAATTTGAATCAATACTGGTGGTTTTTTTAATTCTAAACATATCTGATGTAATTCTACAATTTCGTTATTGAACTTTTGATTCTATTTTTATCAATAAAAAGATAATAACTGATGATTTCAAAACTTTAAATAAAATTAAATATATTTGAGTATAATGAACTTTATACAAAATTAAATAACTTAATAAATAAATTAAATTAATAAATTAAAATTAAATAACTTAATAAATAATATATGTATATATTAAATACACTGTTGGCCATTAAAATTGCTACACCACGAAGGCAGTACACAACAAATGCAAAATTTGCATGAAAGGGACAATATGCTGGGTGCTCTATACCTCAAGATTACCTGTTGATTTAATCATGTCTTCCTCCAATTATACNTTATTTAATGAGTCATTCAATTTTAATATGTTGAAACACATCTGATTGAAATACATTGATTTGTCTTTCATTTATGCCAATTTGACATATGCCATCATCTACAAGAACTTAACCCAATGGAAAACAAGAACTGTATAACTATATTTAAATTTTTTTTTTTTCAATTTAATCAAACACACAGTATATTTTTTAATCTATATATATATATATATAGATTAAAAAATATACTGTGTGTTTGATTAAATTGAAAAAAAAAAAATTTAAATATAGTTATACAGTTCTTGTTTTCCATTGGGTTAAGTTCTTGTAGATGATGGCATATGTCAAATTGGCATAAATGAAAGACAAATCAATGTATTTCAATCAGATGTGTTTCAACATATTAAAATTGAATGACTCATTAAATAATACAATAAAGTATCTACATTTTATACATAAATGTTATTTATAATAAAATATAAGTAAATCGATTTGAGTAGAATTTTAGAACCATATGAATATCTAATAAATTCTATGAATGTATGTCTCTTTAATTCAAATGACTATTAAGTTCGGTAGACTATCATTACAGCTTCCAGGTTAGACACTTCTTTTATTGTTTTCTCATACATATATATTTTCTACAACATTATGTTGTAGAAAATACACATTGTTTACAAGATGTACTTATGTTGAAAAATATAAAAGTGGGTATGTATTGTATTATATTGTTATTTTATTGGAATGTGTGATGTTATTGAGGAAAAAATTATAAAAATATTAATATATTAGGGTTTCGTTATGAATGTGTGGAAAGTGTACTTTTGGTGTTTTTAATGGCTGTATTGAAAACTCTTTCCAATGTTACCCGCTATACACCGTGGTTTTAGAAGACAGAACCATATGTATCGTATAAGTGTGACAATTTTAAGTATGGTAATTTTATGTCAGTAAATAAGACCTACATGCGAGAAATTTTGTCATGTTATTAATTTGTAGTATTGCAGTGAAGAGGGGCTTAGCATTTATATAAGCCCGAAATGCACATGAGAAAACAATAAAAGAAGTGTCTAACCTGAAAGCTGTAATGATAGTCTACCAAACTTAATAGTCATTCAGATTAAAGAGACATACATTTATAGAATGTAATAACAGCTACCATAAGTGATATCTAATAAATTGTAGATGATATCCTTTTTTGTAGGTTTCTTATTGTATAGACTTCCTCCATTGTCTTTTTAATTTTATCAGTATTTTTCACAAATGTTATTATAGTAGAAGTTATCATATTTGAATCCTACAAACAGTGAAATGTAATTGCAAATTTTCCATTCTTCTAAGTTTTCAATTTTTCTTTAATATTACAGATTTGTCTGATCTTTTATTACATTTGCCATTGGAAGTCATATACCACTCTTATAACTAAACAAAGTTTTTTTTTATTTTTTGTACCAAAGCACAAATTTAAAAAATTAGGGCACAATATTAATATACACAATAGATAATTTATATATAATGTACCACAATTAATTATAAAGATTTATATATTATTCAATTATAATTAAATGTGGCATAAGAACTATATAATTACATAATAAATTTATTTTAAAGTTTAGTTTATTAAATAAAGAGCTGCTACCAACACAAAAATGAATTACACAGAGAATAAGCATATACTATTTACAGTGGTACCTCAGGATACGAAATTAATCTGTTCTGAAACTGAGATCGTATCATGAAAATGCTGTAAGATGAATCATTTTTCCCCATACAATTACATGTAAAACCAAATAATTTATCTCAATTTATCTTAATAATCTTAAGAATAGATTAATCTCAATTTAGAATAGAAATATTTAGCTTGCTTCAAGTTCTTGATATAGCATCATACATTCAAATGCAATGTAATCAAACAACAATTTACTTTCTAGCAAATTTTAGTGAAATCTGCTGGCAACCCTTTGAAGTATCTTGTAAATAAATATTATAGTATAATGTCACATAATATAGTTCTAGAGATAGGATTGTTAAATGTAAATCTAAGCATGTAATTATATCAGAAAAATTGAATCTATATCATCTAGTTCACAGCATCTTGTGAAGCTTGGTTATGATATTGAACTAAAATAATTTTTACTGTATGTAACTATTATATGATGATGTACACAACAATTTAATTCCCACAATTTAATACACAAGTTTTCAAGCCTGCTTTCAGTCATCTTCTAAACTATAATTATAACATACATTTGAACATTTAGCCAGCAATTTATTTACATCCAGTGCAACAAAAACATATCCATGACATTAGCAGCTAGCTTTCTTAAAATAAAATTGATGTTATTTAAATTTTTTTACATAAAATCTGTTGTAACTATTCTCTAATAATTTGAAGCAAAACAAATATCATCTTATGATGAAGACATAAGATATTGGTAATGAGAAACACAGGCTAGATAATTAATTAATTGAAAAATGAAAGTAACAGTATTTCACAGACAACCCAAAATATAAATTAAATATTCAGTCTATTAAAAAGAAATAAATAAATAAATCTTAAATGCCATTGTAAGTTCTATAAATGGACAAAGCCTAAAGCACTGACCTAAAAAATCCATTGCACACCCCACAAGAAACTATTTCAGAAGTTTTATCTCGTTAAAGAAAGACAACAGACTTTTGAAGGAAAGATTGCAAACATTGCCAGACCTTAAAAAGAGGAACCTAGATGAACAAGCCTGTCTAGAGAGGAGAAAGTCAGAGAAGTCTTTTCAACAGAATTGCAAAAGGTTGAGAAGAAAAGTTTTTAAGCAGCACAAATGTTTACAAAAGTGACCAAAATCTGTCACAATGCCAATCAGAAGACAAACATAATTATTTCCAAAAGCAAGAAAATCTGTAATTCATACAAAAAACAAGCTACGCAAAAATATATTACTCAAATGTACTTTAAACGAGAAGTTTCCTCTACTGTTTCAAATGATTGGGCTGCAATTTGAAAAAATTGTAAACATAAATTTCAACTGTCATCTGTCCATCTTTCTTTAATCTTGAGAATGGAGTTAGATAGATGAAAGGCGAGACCAGGTATGGAAAGCTTAAGGGCAGGAGGCACCAATATGTGAACTTTTGATGCAAACTGAAAGTCATGCTATTTCAATTTAAAAATTTTCCCTGAAAGAAGTTAGATAAATGGCTGGCACAACTCAATTGCTAAAAGAAAAGTATGACATACAGAGATAAGACACTACTGATTTGAAGGCGAAAGCATATATTTTAAATTAAATAAATTAAAAAATATAAGTAAAAATTGCAGCCTGGCATTGTGTGTGGAAAGTGTACTTTTGGTGTTTTTAATGGCTGTATTGAAAACTCTTTCCAATGTTACCCACTATACACCATGGTTTTAGAAGACAGAACCATATGTATCGTATAAGTGTGACAATTTTAAGTATGGTAATTTTATGTCAGTAAATAAGACCTACATGCGAGAAATTTTGTCATGTTATTAATTTGTAGTATTGCAGTGAAGAGGGGCTTAGCATTTATATAAGCCCGAAATGCACATGAGAAAACAATAAAAGAAGTGTCTAACCTGAAAGCTGTAATGATAGTCTACCAAACTTAATAGTCATTCGGATTAAAGAGACATACATTTATAGAATGTAATAACAGCTACCATAAGTGATATCTAATAAATTGTAGATGATATCCTTTTTTGTAGGTTTCTTATTGTATAGACTTCCTCCATTGTCTTTTTAATTTTATCAGTATTTTTCACAAATGTTATTATAGTAGAAGTTATCATATTTGAATCCTACAAACAGTGAAATGTAATTGCAAATTTTCCATTCTTCTAAGTTTTCAATTTTTCTTTAATATTACAGATTTGTCTGATCTTTTATTACATTTGCCATTGGAAGTCATATACCACTCTTATAACTAAACAAAGTTTTTTTTTATTTTTTGTACCAAAGCACAAATTTAAAAAATTAGGGCACAATATTAATATACACAATAGATAATTTATATATAATGTACCACAATTAATTATAAAGATTTATATATTATTCAATTATAATTAAATGTGGCATAAGAACTATATAATTACATAATAAATTTATTTTAAAGTTTAGTTTATTAAATAAAGAGCTGCTACCAACACAAAAATGAATTACACAGAGAATAAGCATATACTATTTACAGTGGTACCTCAGGATACGAAATTAATCTGTTCTGAAACTGAGATCGTATCATGAAAATGCTGTAAGATGAATCATTTTTCCCCATACAATTACATGTAAAACCAAATAATTTATCTCAATTTATCTTAATAATCTTAAGAATAGATTAATCTCAATTTAGAATAGAAATATTTAGCTTGCTTCAAGTTCTTGATATAGCATCATACATTCAAATGCAATGTAATCAAACAACAATTTACTTTCTAGCAAATTTTAGTGAAATCTGCTGGCAACCCTTTGAAGTATCTTGTAAATAAATATTATAGTATAATGTCACATAATATAGTTCTAGAGATAGGATTGTTAAATGTAAATCTAAGCATGTAATTATATCAGAAAAATTGAATCTATATCATCTAGTTCACAGCATCTTGTGAAGCTTGGTTATGATATTGAACTAAAATAATTTTTACTGTATGTAACTATTATATGATGATGTACACAACAATTTAATTCCCACAATTTAATACACAAGTTTTCAANCTCTTGAACCTTTACATATTACATTTAATTCACAAATATTTCAACAGCTTTCTTACAATTAGAGATTTTGAAAATTAGTAAAGAAATCAAAAATGCAAATGATTACTAGTATTAGAACTCCAATTATCTTAGATTTATGTTCTCAGATGAACCAGTAAGTAAATACTTTTCTTTATAATTCATAAAAGCTGTTTTGAATGCACTGAGTAAATAAATACTGTAGTAATTTTAAGCTTGACTGTATCAAACAAGTGGCTCACAAATGATTTTTTTCATGCCAATGGAAAGGTGTGATCTGGATATATCACCCATGAAAAATGACACTGAGATGACTGTGCAACACTATGGCATATAAAAGAGGAAATGCTATAAAATAAAAACTCAAATACTTTTTAAAGAAAGCTTAAAACATTAACATGTATTACAAAATTATTTGTTTCTGTTATCTGTTATTATTTAACTTCAATGAGAGACAAACCATTCATATTAAAATGTAAATACAATAATACGCATTTTTATTCTTAAAACTAATATATATTAACTTTATAATAAATGATGTAAAAAATATTGTTCTTGTATGCAATTAAATTCACTAAGGTTAAAAATGATAATTTTTAATCTGAAATAGTTGAGGACTTCTGATTTATCTGAGATAGCATTGATCCACATTACCTTCTATAATTTGGATTCTGCTGTAACATTTAAATAAATACTCCAATAAAACTAAGAACAGTAAAAATGTCTTTATTTAAAGACAACTGTTGTGAAAAGAACTGATAATAATAATAAGTAATTTACAATAAAATTATATATCAAGGAAAAAGCAATTATACTACATATTAATTAAAATCATATTAATTGTAACAGTTACATTATTTCTCTAATCTAATGCTGTATTTGTTGCATTCATTGATCTAAGATCAATTTTCTAAAATTCTATAAACTTTGAAAACAATTTTTTCTACTAGTTTTTTAGTTTTTAAATATAACTAAATAATGTTTGTTGCAGTAAAGGCAAGCCCTGTTACAGGGGAGAGACTTATCTCCTTTTTATAATTGAATATAATATAAATATCACTGTATAGTTTTAGGTTTTAACAACATACTTTAAATATAAACAATTTTATAGTTTTACATACTCTCAGAAAGCATTAAAATGTATTTTAAATAAATACATTTGAAAATTTTATGAATAACTTATTGCATCTGGTATTTATATATCAACCAATCATTCTTGTTGCACTGATTTATGAATTAGAGAATTATCTATTAGTAATATTTATTATTTCATTTAAATTAAATTATACAAAAGCAATCAAAAGCAAATTAAAAATGTTGTTATACCTGCTGGAAGAGAAATTTGAGTTTGAAGAAAGTCAAAGAGTGTAGATTGACCTGAAGGTCGACTCTGTACAATACCATCAGACTGCTGTATATTCTTTTCTCGTTTCTTAATATTCTGATCTAAAAAATTCAAAGTAATATTAAATTGATTATTATATTCTATCATATAAAAATTTTTGATTTAAATTAATTTTATATTCTGTAGTAAATATTTTATTCTTTCATAAAGAAAAATTTCTTTATTTCATAAATTTTCTTATTTTCTGTTTAATAAATTACCTTAAAATTAACCAACATAACACAGTTTAACATATTCATGGAAGTGTCATTTTGAAGAGACATTGGGGTTCATAAAGTCGAACGAGTTAAACAAGAATGGCATCATCGTTATTCTTATTTAGTTAAACTTTTCGAATGATTCATTTATAACTAAATGGATGTTTCTAAAATCAAAGATAGGAATGCTGTTAGTGCAGCCTTATCCAAAATATTTTTCTTAGATTGCTTCGGGTGGACAGTTATTTCAATCATTTGACCTTTTAATTCACAATTTAAACACTCGAGTAGATTTAGAAACATCGATATCGTCGGGCGCCATTTTCTTAACGAAGTAAACTAACTCTTTCCTTCGTGAACTTCGTTAGTTTCATCCGAAACGTCATCACCGCAGAGCATGCGCACTGGGCGAGACTACTACTATTCGAACGATTCGTTACTAACGCGTTTAACTCATCTGACTTTACGAACATACCCATTATTTAGAGCAGTGTTCCGCATCTGGTGTGCCATCACATGGTGAAAGGTGTGTCATGAACTTTTACATATTCTGTTAATTTCAAGTTTTATTTATATATTTTTATCANTTCAGATTTCTATATCATATATTTATAAATTTTTATCATAGTTGATGTGTCTTTTATGCTTGCATTTCATTCTCTGCCAGAGCACTGATGAAATAAGATAATGTTTGTTTATTTTTTATTACACGCATTTTTATGTATTCTAAGAAATTATATGTAAAAAAAAACTTGCTCACAGATGTTGATGTCTGTTTAATAACAATAATAATAGGTTAGTGGCATTACGTAATTCTATTAATAGAAGTATATCATACGTTTTTGAGGAGAATAATTTTTTGGTGTGCCATGTTGAGTCATGGTGTGCCGCAAGTAGAAAAAGGTTGCGGAACACTGATTTAGAGTAATAACTTTACATTTGAACTGGTAACTTCCAAATGAGAATAATTTACATGGAGAAAGATTAGAAATATATTTAAATTTGAAATTATTAATGGAACAATTAAGCACAAACAATAGATAATGGCATGGAGATATTTCTTTGCAATGGTCTTGATTTATTATATAGAAAACCTATGCATGAATGTATAAAAGCATTTCAGAAAGCAATACTAAACTCTCAGCAAAAAAATGACATTGAGAAATTTTTTTTCAACTTGACAATAAATCTAAATTACTCACTGAATAGTTGTTAAATAACTGAATTAAAATACTGTATTGGTGGCAAAACTAAGTTCAGATTTAAATTCTCATGATATTTATGAAAGTGATTTAATTGTCAAGTTCCATCAACTGTCATAACTCTCACAAACTCGATACAAGAAATATTTAGCAGTTTGGAAAAACTGTCAGTATATTTATTAAAAAATTTAGTTAAAAATATATCTAACAAGTTGCAGACTATTACTGATAATACAGAAATGCTTAGATACTATTAAAAAAAACTAGTTTTTATTGATATATCAGAATTTATTTGGGTCTGCTTTTTTAAAATTTTTATAAAATTTTTAAAAAATACACTTTTAATTAAAAATTTATGCATGCTTTCTTATTTGTTTTATTATAGCTTAATTTTAATAACTATAAAACTTATCTAATTATTATTTTTTTAAATATAATTCCAATATTAATTGTTTAATTTAATTTTGATTTATATTCATCTTGTTTAATTTTATGTTGACAAGCACTGTAACTGAATTAATATAGTTTAGCTGAAATATTGAACAGAATTATGAACTTTTCCATACTAATACCATTTTTAAGTATATTTAAAAAGATATATATATATATATACAGTAATACCCCGAACTTACGTGATAGGTGGGACCGAGCGGTAACCGCGTAAGTCGGGGTATAATTTCGCATATAAATACATACAAATAATTTTTAATTGGGGCCAGAGACTAAAGAAAACAATAATTTAGAAAAAAATGTTTAATAAAATCTTAGATAATACATATGTATAACAAATTAGGCCTATATTATTTTACAATTTTTCACATTTACTTGATTATTACGCCATAATTTTAACATTGTTTCCATCTCAGCGATAATACTGTGACGTTTACGAATGATGCTTGAATTTAAAGATTGAGCATTTTTCACAGCTTCGAGAATTTTTTCTTTGCCTTTTATAATTGTTCTGACCGACAATTCCGGTAGATCAAACTTCTTTGCCAATTCACAAATTTTCATTTTTGTATCGAAGTCTTTAATAATGGGTACGTTCGTAAAGTCAAACGAGTTAAACGCGTTAGTAACGAATCGTTCGAAAAGTCTAACGAAATAGGAATAACGATGACTTCATTCTCGCTTAACTCGTTCGACTTTACGAACATACCCAATGTTAACTTTACATTCCAAAGATAAAGTTTTTCTTTTCTTGTTTGATGCAGAAGAATTAGTTCTACTTCGTTTGGATGACATAGTAGAGTCTCTCGAGTCTCCGTAGATATAACAAACACAGAAATAAATAACACAAAATAAATTGTAGCTATGTGTGGATTCCGCGCGACACATCCGAACATGTAAGCTGAACAATAGTGTGGGAGGAGTGAGTAATCAAGGGTTGCATGGCGCTCAAACAAAAGACAAATCGACGAGATTTGAAAATCGCGTAACTCCGGGTTCGCGTAAGTCGGGGTATTATTGTATATAAGTCTAATAGTTAAACCTAATTGATTGCAATCATATAATTTTATAAAATTCATATTATTCTAACCTTGTTTTGATGAAACAGTTTTATTTTCCCATTTGCTATTTGCTTGACTTTTTGTAGCAATCTGATGCATTGAAGGAACAGTAACTGATTCAGAAATTCCATTTTTAAAGTTTAAATTCATTGATTTATTGTTGTATGAAATTGAAGAATTTGAAATATTACTATCACCATCTGGAATCTATTAAAAAAATAATATATATTTTAATTACCTACTGCATTAAGTAAAGGAGAAAATATCAAACACTAAATATTTTATAGTGATACCAAATATTAATAAATCTGCTGAAAATCTCTGAGTTAGATTTGAATTAATTAAAATTATTTTAAGATTAAAAATTTGAACCAGAGTAAAACAAGTTATCTGACAATAACATTCATAATTATATCATAATATACAATAACTGACAATTCAAATAAAATAAAAGTTGTTCTATTTGAATTGTCAGAACATTAAACATTATTGATCTAATGACAAAATGAAAATACCAAAAAGTGCTTAATCCAATCCTTTAACCCCTTTGAGTTTATTTCTAACATTTATACCCAGGGAATCACCTTTTCCAGTTTTGAATTATAGAAACTTTTTTTAATTTTAAGAATATATTTTATTGTTTTATGTTTATATGATGCTTTATATTGACATAAAATTATAACAACAATTTCTCTTAAAAAGGTATTAATTAATTTGATGTTCTTGATCCAATAAAATTATTTAATAATAATGGTGCTAAAAGTCATTAATATATAATAATTAATCTAGAATTATATTTTTATTTTATTTCATAAACTTTATATTATTTTAGAAAATTCTCAAATACCTGTTTTCCTCCACCAAAAATTTTCTTTTTTCCCTCTTTAGCTCGAGCTATTTCTGCTATAGTAGCCTTTCTTTGCTGTTCAAAAGCTTCATTTTCTTTACCTTCTTTTTGAGTTTGTTCTAATGATTTAAAGTTACCTGCAATTCCAAATTACAAATACAATATATATATTATATAACCAAAAAAATCAGTTTTATAAGATATATTGAATGTCAAGAAAACTATAAATGCAATTTGAATAATAATCTGAAGTACAGTGAAGTGTTGAAAATCAAAAATAAATATTAATCCAATCAACAATGGAAACTTCATTTTTGATTGGCCTGTGTTCTTTCAGCTATGTTATGTGAATATTGTAGCATTATAACTTAGCCTTATTACAACCTGATAATTCAACAGATTGTCTGGCTTTAATCAAAAATTGGATTTATGGAGTTTTTGTTATAATATTCATTTAGAATTTTTTTTAATTTTGAAATTAGGATTAGTGTACTTTTTGTTTAAATATAGGAATTCTGTAAATTATATTTGAAATCTTTGTAAGTATTCCTACATTCCTTGTGAAATACCAGGTTAAACTTAAAACATCTAAACTTAAATTATAGTATATTTGTAGTTTACAATACTCAAAATGCTAATTTATAACTTTATTTGAAAATCTTATCTTTGAAAATATTCTTTTTTATTACCAGAAACATTAAACTAACACTAAAATTAAACATTAAACACTAATTTTAATCCTTCACTTAATCCTTTCAATAAACACTAAATATTATTTAGTGTTTATTGAAGGATTAAAAATTGTTTTGTGATAATTAATAAAAGTTAGTATTTCTAATGAATGATTTTTTTTTGTTCTTTTCCTTTCTTACTAACAATTGCTGCAGAGTAACATTGTGACATGAAGTTCCCTATAGATTTATGCAGAAAACATGCTGGCACAAAGTTACCCCCAAATGACAGGGTAAAATTGTAACAAACATTTTTCGCAATATTGTTTAAAACAATAAAATAATAATTAAGAACTCTACATGTAAAAAAGGAGAATGTTAAAGCCTAAATTCCTAAAATAACAACTAATGACATATTTGATCCAATAATCTGGTAATTAACATTAAAAAAAAAACATGAAAAGTGTCATAAAGTAACTCTTGTTTACCAAGATACATATCTCATTATGGAATTCAAAACTCATAAATTAAAAATTATACTGCTGTTATAAAAGAATAATGACATAAATGCTGAATTAATTATTATTATTAATTCAGCATTTATGTTACTATTCTTCTAAAACAGCAATGTAATGATGATATAATGATATGAGAAAACATTTGTTTAAATTATCCAACAGCATATTGAATATTTTAAAATCATTTCATAAATATTGAAAAAATTAATAATATAATTTTTAATATAATGTAATGATAATATTATATTTTAATAATATAAATGTTATTGTTGTTACCTCTGATATTTTTCAATGAATTAGTATCAATGTGTTGTCCAAATGGAATCCAAGGAGGTGGACCACCATCTGATCCAGTTGTAGCACGTATATGGCAAGCAAGACTCTATTTCATAAATAATTATATACTGATAATCAATAAGTTATAAATTTTGTAAAATATATGATATTAATTCAATATTCTTAACATAATTCTGTTTTTAAAAAAATAACACAAGGTTGAACAATTAAGTTTTGAGACTACTTTTTATTTCTCCAAGTTAGATTAATAATAATGTTGTACCAACTATGAATTCATGATGCAGAAAGAAACTTTTTGACCAAATTTTGAACAAAAAAATTTTTTAAGCTTTCTTGTAGTTTTATTAGAATGTTTGAGATGAATGAGGATAAGAAGTGGAATTCTTGAAAATGTTTTGAATTAAAAGAAAAAGAACTTCTTGATTTGATGTTTGATATGTTTTACTAGATATATATAACTTATAGAGAAAAGAAAGAATATCTAAGTCTTACATGTAATTCTGCGAATTTCATTCAAATATTTACAATGACAATGACTTTATTCATCTAATTTACTGTTACAAATGCATTTCAAAGCAATGTATATTTTCATTCCCCCTTCAGTTCTAATTAAGTTAAAAAATAGTTTTTACAATTTTAAATTCAAATACATCCAAATTGCATACTTTAAAAACTTGTTAAAATACCACTCCCATATCTATAATGTTAAACAATTTTAAACATTTACAGTACTATTTCACACTATTACTGTAAATTGTTATACAGCTATTTTACACAATTAAAATAACTTTTAAAGCAAGAAAAAGTTATTTTAATTGTGTAAAATAGCTGTATAACAATTTACAGTAATAGTGTGAAATAGTAAATGTTTAAAATTGTTTAACATTATAGATATGGGAGTGGTATTTTAACAAGTTTTTAAAGTATGCAATTTGAATGTTAGAAGTGCTATATTGATATTCTCAGACTCGTGTAAGGCTTACAGAGAAAAGAATTTCAGCACCCTTTATCTACATAATACAACTTAGTGATTATTTCCTTCTGTTGAAGAAACCTTGTAACTTTGTATGTGTATAAACTTTTTAAGTATTAAAAATGATTTGAAACAAACAACAAATTGATCTTGTGCAAAAAATTTTATGAACAGATCAAAGAAAATTATTTTTTGACTTGTATCATCATAGATAACTTTTTCTAAAATTAAAAAACATTACCAGAAGGGAAGCTTTCTGAACATTGGAGGAAATCAAAATGAACATAAAACAAATTTTGAAAGATGTCACATTTGATGACTTCAGTAGCTGTTTCAATTAGAACTGAATGTATTTTACAAAGGATATTCAATTACTAGAAAATAGTTTAAGATTTTATTAAGTTTTCATGTTATTAAGTTTGCATGATTAAAAATAAAATTTTAAAATTTCAGTCTCAAAACATGATTGACTTTGTATAAATATTTTACAAGAACTAATCATTATCTTTTATATCATTTTTTTGTGTGAAAAAAATTATCACCACACAATAACAAATTATTCTGTATTTTTATATAAATAATATTTCTCCAAAAAATTTTAAAATATTTATTTCTTTTGTTTTGTAAAGAATGTTATTTTAACACTTATATTTTGTTGAAAGCAATTTGAAAATCTTTAAATCAATACTTCAATAATTATATTGCTAACATATGTTAATATAAATAGAAAATTTTTTAACAATAAAAATATTATATTATCTTAAGGGTGCAGATAGACTGGCAAGTTATTTCCAATAATTGATGCAATTATCTGTCAAAAGCATTGTATGACTTCTGCCTTCTTCAAGTTCTTCAGTTCTTGAAAAACTGTTTATACTCTAAGCAACTTAGACTTGCAACAGTATTATTTGTCAAGTATTGAGCCCTTTTTTTTTTTACTATTTTACCCAACAGGGTACTAGTGAAGTATGTTTGCATTGCAGCAACATTGTGAATTCTAAGTGACAATTATAATAAATAAAAAAAAAAGGGAGAAATCATGTGTTGGGTAAGGAATGGATATTAAGAAGAAAAGTTTATAGGGTTTATAATAATATGGTCAATGAGATAAAAATTGAAGATGCACAATTTAAAACTTTCTTCAGATGTCCATGGTTATAGAAAAATACAGCCAAGTTGATATAAAAACTTCATCTATCCCAGAATCACTTTTATTTATTTTCATTTCCTGTATAAACTGGCTCCTTAGAATGTGTAATTTTGTTGCTATCAGTATTAAGTTTTGTTGCAATTAATTTTAATCTTTTTCATTTCTTATTTTGATTTCCATAACTTGTAGAATGCATATTCCATAATAGCAGGTTCTCTTCATATAGATATTAAAATTTTCATTTTTGTATCACTCCATATCTTCTTTCTTTCCAACATGTTAAACACAAACTTTAACTTGCTAAATATCAAAGCAAACTAGAAGTATTTTAAGAAATTGCACAACTTCAGTTATGCCTGTTTAGACAAACAAGCACCGGTGTAGTGTAAGGATTTCTGGAAGTGCTGGTGAGTCAACTTACAAAGTTGTTTACATTAGTATATTAAGTCTAACACTAGTAACAGTAGTGTCAGATAGCAACTGGTAAGAATTTTCTTGTTAGTTTAAATGCATCTTAAATTTTAAAAATATTTCAAAATCATACTTCCAAAAAAAATCAAAAAATAAAAATTTCTTTAACTTACTTTATTAAGCTCCCATTTTTCTATTAAAGCACTCACATCTCCTCCCAAAACAGTGAAGTGATTTTCACTAAGAATTAAGAAGGAATTTTGAATTTTAACTTTTCCTGGTTTTAAGTATAATTTTGTACCTGGAGGTATGTCTTGGCTGAAAAGTCAAATATTTTTTTAGTATAAAGTAACTCCAATATAATCACTTATATTTATGAAAATAAATTAATGTATGTTACTTAATATTCACTAACCAAAAGGCATTAAGATTTATTAGTTGATAAAACAATTTGGAATAATATACAATAATTCAAATACAGTAGAAGCTCAATAACTTGGGAACAGAAAATATTGATCAGTTAAGTAAAATGACTTAATGGCATTCAAAAGATTTCATCTATCAGATGCTAATGAAAAAGCAACACTCAGTTCTTTATTTCTGTATGTATAAAATACAGTTATCTATTAAAATTATATTCATATTACATAAAAAGTAAATTTATATATTTTTTTTTTGTTTAATTCTAATTTATGTTTTTAATATACTAGGAATATATGAATGGTTTTGATTTTACAAATTATCTGTTCCCATTTTAATTTTGAATTTTAGCTTGTTTTTTAAATTTCATAACCAATTCCTACTTTCTAATTTGCACTCAATTGGCTTGATGCTATTTTCAATGCTAAATTATTATTTAACCTAGTCTGATATTCCATGACCATGGATAAAATATGTTCTATTAAGCATTGAAAATATTCTGAACTAGTAATTCCATTTTCAAAGATATTTTATATAATTAATATACAGTCGAACCCCTATAACACGGGTTCCTATAGTTCGGATTCCTATATGACGGCGAAAAAATTGTGACGGTATCCGTACAAACATGGTAAAAAAAACTCCTATAATTCAGTAAAACGTCATCAGTCAGCCGAACTACTTTCCGCCGTCCAGCGCCACACTACGGAGAGTTTAGGCGGGTAAATTGAGTTTACTATCATCTATACAGTATTATATATAAATTAGGTACTGTACATATAATTATATATTAATTATATATAAATTAGGTACTGTATATATAATTNGCACAAAATGTACTATGACAGAGCCATAATCACAGATAAAACAATTTACCACAACAGACCAGACATCACACTCATTGACAAACACAATAAAATCACATACATTATAGATATAGCCATTCCAAACACTCACAATGTACAAAACACATGCACAGAAAAAATTAGCAAGTACACAGAACTCGCCCAGGAAATAAGGCATCTGTGGAGGATGGATAGGGTGCTTATTGTACCTGTTGTTCTCTCCTGTACAGGGGTGATACCACACACACTACACAAAAGCCTGGGAACATTACAATTGAATAGAAATACATACATCACACAACAGAAGGCCACTATATTGAATACATGTCATATTGTTAGGAAATTCCTGGATACTGACACTGACACACTTATTTAATTTGTTTTGGTTGCTATGCCTTGACTCTGGTCCGGCATAGTACACAGCCACCGGTTTAAACCGAGTATTACCCACTAAACCCAACACAATAATAATAATGTGGAATTAAAAAAAAAATATATATATATATATAATTACTTATTTGATTACAAAAAGACTGGATATTTAATTTTCTAATTGTTATAGATTTGAAAACATTAGTAAAAACTTTTTCTGCTATAAGAGGATTACAAAGTGAAAAAAAACAGCTGTTTATACTTTCATTTTATATAATAAATATTATTCAATATCCAATTAGTACTTAGATTTGTGAATCAATTAAAAATAATTTTAGTATGTGCTTTTAATATAATTTTAATTTAATACTATATAAAATTTTAGTTTTTTTTTAATGTTTTTGAATCATTACTTTTAAGAATTTTAATTTTAAGATGTTTCTAAATTCAGCAGTGCTGCAGCAGCTGCAGAAAGCTTAAAGTAAAATCATTGCTAATAAGATCACTGTGTAATAAATGTTATAATGTTACTTTTTAATCTGTTAAACAATAATAAAATAAATACATAAGAATTTAAACGCTTGTTGAGCTTAATTGATTATTAAAATACAGTAGAACTTCTCTAACTCTAAGCTCAAAAGGACAGAAAAAACTAAGTTACAGATGATTAGAGTTAGTGAACAATAGAGTAAAAAATGCTGATTATGAATAGATTTTTCTATTTTTACCCCTCTTGCATTATATAAAAAATCTTTGATAGTTTTTTGTTTTAAACAACCTGTATAACATCTTTCATCAAAATGTTCAATGTAACTAATGGAATCAAGTAGTTTTGCAGATACATCTTGTTGAGATAAAATGAGATGTTCTCTTGCTTTAGACTGGAACATTGTCAGCAAACAGGTGTTGGACAGTAGATACAACTAACTGTCTGAAAATTTTATGTAAATCATATAATTAGGATCACTTTGGATAGAATAAATATTAAAATTTGAGTAATGAAAGTTGAAAGTAACATAAATCAATGTCAGGGGACCATGAAAAACTTTGATTTGGAGAAAATTGAATTAAGGAAATTCAAGTTGAAGACACTAAATTCATATGCTATTCCATTGAGACCTACATTGTGCTTCATTTTCTTCATGTTAAAGAAATATTTGAGTTACAGACGTAACTAGAATGCAAAAGTACAGTAAAACTTCTCTAACTCAAATTTAGTTAAATGTCATTTTGTCAAAGAACACTAGCAAGAGAGTACACTTACATCCATTAACATTAAATAACTTGTCGAACAGAGAAATTACAGTCAACTGTACAGATGCTATGTTGTTTTGTCATCGTTGTAGCATTTGTTGTTGTAAATTTACTATTTGGATGCAAGCAGATTTTGCTTCAGTACTGTTGTTGCACTGCTGAATTTAGCAATGAGCAGTTTGTTAAGTTTTTTTTTTTTTTACATTTTAAACAATTGGTTTCATTGCAAGACATCCAAAAGTCTACAGCTGATTGTCCACTGGACAACTAGCAGATATTCTTAATTTCTAACCCTGCACGTGAGGTCAACAAAATTATTTTACTCAAGCAATACTTATAAAAATGATCACATAATAAAATTGCATATGTGTACAATTTAAAAACATAATTCAAGCATATTAAGTATTTAACAATATTTTTAAATTGGTTGAGATGCAAAGCCTTAAATATCTCAAAAGAAAAAAAATTGGACTTGCCACCTAAAAAAGTTTCATATTTATAAGTTGCATAATTATTTTAATCATTAAAAATCTATTGAAGATATACAGTTCATATTTAAAAACAAAAAAATTACATTATTATATCAATTATTTATACATTATGAATGTTATAAATTTATGTAGTCAATTCTGTTTAATTGGACCACTGGTTAATCAGGGCAGCTGCTTCATTGGGCCAAACACTGTAAGGAACCAAGTCTGAGCTTTATTTTTATTTTACTTTTATTTTGCTTTCATTATATTTTGTTTGGGGCTTATGTTTAGTTAAGACGAAGGTTTCCTCACCATTCACCTTAGTAACTTAAAAATAGAAGAAAAACCAACTCACCGACGAAAGAAAAGCGCCGTAGAAAAACTCGCGCACACTTGCGCTTCCCAAGCGGAAAAAAGTAAGTCCGCACCGAGAAAAAGGGGGGGGAAGACCCCACAACCCAGTTAGGAATCGCTAAACCTTAAAATAATAAAGCATCCCGATAATTGTTAAAAAGAATAATGTAAAAGGTTAGCGAAGTATTGTCGGAAAATAATCTGCCAGATAAACGAGAAAAATTTAATGTTACAGATAAGTATGTAAATGAGGAGAGTGAGCTCATTCAGAATTGTGACGTCACCTCACACTATAAAGCCTCTAACTCAAGTGAAAACGAACGAGGTGAATTCCTGATAGCAACGAGCTTTGGTGAGCTCCGTAGCAGTGAACGAGAGAGGTGTCCGATAGGATTTTGAAGTTATTCGATTTGTGGATCGACGATTATAGAAAGTCTTGAGAGTTGAGGAAATAGGTTCCTAGTATATTGAGGTGACGATTAGGATCTTTAATTTATAAGAATTATTGTTTATAAGTTAATTCTTTGATTTTGTCGAATTCCAAAGGGGAATAGAATTAAGTTAGAAATAGATTGATTTGAGTTGTCGGATTGATTCTTGTTGAATTTCATTGAATAAATTATTGTTTGATTTTTACTAAATACTGTATATAGTTTATTACTAGAAGTTTAATTAAATATTTAATTTTGTTATTGACAAACTTTGTCATTATTTAATTCGGTGCACGCTTAAAATCCAGGCCTGGCACACTAACGCGAATCCGCGTAAAGTACCCGTTAGGGAACGGCTATTTCCGGCACACAGTAGTGTCGATAATCGTTGGAAAGTCGGAAAAATAATACAGTACTTTACAACACCAAAGAACGGAAACCAAACTAATAAATTAAAATAAAAATAAACCAAACTAATAATTTAAATGCTTAATTGGGACAGTAGCAGAAAAGGAATTTATTAAGTTTTGATATATTTTAAGGATCTTCCAAAAATTTGTAGACATAAATACCCTATTATCATGTAGGCCTAATGATTGGCAGAGACAAAGCGATTTTGTCTTTCGCTCAGGCAGTTCAGTTTTTCTGGAGGGGGTCACCATAGCGGGACGTATCACATGGGATACCATCTGAGATGGACCAGAATGCGAGCTATTGACTCTGCTCTGTATTGGACCAGATAATCCCTTTAAAAGCAAAGGGACAAAGATCCCCGGACAATTTTTCAAGGTCTCTCGACTGAGTTGAAAGACAGCTAGAGTTTCATTGGAAAGCATTGTGTGCATAGTTATGTCTAGATTCAAACAGCAGCCATCCAATTATTGGGACCAGCAACCAGAGCTGGCAGATTCTATGGATGCTTGTGCCAAAGTGGCCCATCTCCAAGTAAACTGTGCTCAAAGGAAGACCATCAGGTGACTTTTGGATGAACCCTTTCCTTTCTCCCTTTTTAGTTAGAACATGTTCTAACTAAAAAGAGAGAAAAGAAAAATCATTTGATCAGGAATGAATTGAATGGTCAACCCTTGTGTACGTCACTACTAATACTGTATTTAGCAACACTAGTGTGATGTAAATCAGTTATGTATCATTGTGTGTCTGGCAAATTTATAATACAAATATTTTCTGTATTTTGGTTTAATAAAGCATTAAAATAAGTACCTAATTATTATTTTTACCTACTTATTTATTTAACTATGTATTACATATTTTATTTTAGAATTTATTATTAGTTCATTTAATTGGGGCAGCTGCTTAATTTGGCCAAAATGGATTAGTTCCAACATGTCCCAATTAAGCAGAATCGACTACATATATCAAAAAACACTCAAGTACCTTATTGATTTCCAGTTACCCCATTGTATAGCATTACAAGTGGTGTGACCATCTGTTAGTTGAACTCTAAGCAAGTCAGGAGCATTGCTATAACCACTGTTTACTTTTGGTGAACTAACATTACGTATTTTCTGAATCTGAAGAACTGCTGGTCCAGTTATCTAAAATACATCAATATTAATTTTAAATAAAATAACAATTAATTAAATTCTATAATTAAGAGAACAATGTCTATTATAAAATTTTCTGGTTTAAATACTACTATATATTAAATTAAAAAATAAATTTATAATAATTTTCTATCAGCTGTAATTCTTAAATCCTAATCACATATGTTCCTTTATGCAAAAGAATAAATAGCTGAAATCAGCTTGAGAAACAAAATACAAACATTAGTAACCTTTATTTCCTAGAAAGAAAATGAAATCGTTCAGGACTAAACAACCAAAGTTGCAAATTGTTGTCAAGTAAAATCACCTGATAATGAAAAACAAAAATTGTCAAATGCTCTGTGATCCAGGATTTCCAATCTGTTATTAAGATTTTTGAAAGCAAATGGGATAAAATTTTTGTAGTAATTATTTTAAACTACTTCTAGAATGTTCTATGAATACAAATCATTATAAATGGGTATAGCCTGTTATTTTTATGCCAGTCTGTTCATTCATGGTAGAATATTTCTATGATATGTTCATTAGCTTGTTTCAACTTTGTTCCTTTGCTGTTCAATATCTATAAAACATCTTTTGATCATGGTTTCATAGATACTATTAAATTAGCTAAATAGTCATTCACTTACTGTTATCATCTACAACAATTAATTACTTTTTGTGAAAATTATCTTGCTTAATTCTTTAAACACGAAACTGGCCAAAATCAGCTTAATCCATTTGAGCGAAATTGGTCAAAGGGAAAGTTGTGACTTGTTTTGCTATACAACTTCTACTTGTAGCTTGGGGAATAAAAACAATTTTGTCTCCAAGTACAGAGAAAGAAGAAATTTTCAGAGCTTAAAGAGTTCAATAAAACTGAATACAGTTTTATTATATAGTAATCCTCAAGGCACTTAAATTAATAAACTTGGTAATTTTATAGTTTATCAGCTGGCTGGATGGTGAGGCAGTAAGGTATTAGTATACCACTCTAGGACACCCATAACTGAATCCAGACAGGTTGATAAACCCCAGGAATTTTTTGGAGATGGTATGTCCTGGATATGTTGAACTCTGTCCACATCACGCAGCCATTCACCGTGGGCCTGGTTAAACCCACAATAGAACTGAAAAGGCCCTCTTAATATCTACATAGTGGAAAGAGTAAAAAAAATCTTGCAGATTATTTAGTTTATATGTACAATATATAATAATTTGAAACTATACATATATCATATATGTGGTGCAATCAAACAGTTCTGAGACTGAATCTGTAGCAATGCAAGAGGACACCACACAGTCATAAGAGTGAAGCTAGAGAGGCACATGTTCATGAATCAGTAAACAAAGTGGCAACATGCTACATTGGTTAGAGATTGTGTTATATAAATTTTTCAACAATGCCTTTGCAAACCCATCATGAACTTGACATTAAAGTGAAGAGCTACTATCAAATTCTGAGTGAATTTGAAAAAACCAGCAAGATATCTTGAAATGCTTTGGGAAGCCTATGGCAATGAAGCAATGAAGGTATGCTTTAAAAGGATCACTGAAGGATGACGAAAAGGCAGGTTAACCCTCCACATTCACAACCCCAAAACTGTTGAGAATATTTGATAACTTATGCATGTGAATTATCAGATAACCATCAAGAAATTGTCACCAAGGTCAATGTGTTGTATGGAACAGTGCAAGTGATCTTGATGTAAAAATTGAACATGCACCACATTATAGCAAAGTTTATGTCCACGTTCCCAAGCCCTGAGCAGAAGGTACACAGTGTCCTGTCTGTGATTTTAAATCATGAGTTAGTCTGGGCCCACAGTAAAGATAGCTAAGCAATGAATGATAAGGCCTAACATATCCAGGAAAGATTATCCATAAAAATTTTTTGAGTTTCCTGTCCCACACTTAAATCCATGTAGCCAGAGTTGCTGACACTTTTACTCACTTAGTCATCTGACCAGTATATGTAATATAAAATAAGTGAAATAAAATAAATGGAAAGAATGGATTGTTATTAATAAAAAGAGGACCTCCTAAACTGTACATTTTGAGAACAGAAATGACTGCTTAACACCTACAGTTTTTCTTTTATTGTTTTACTTCTATTCTCTTTTATTTATTAAATAATATTAAATATATAATAATCATACATATATCAATACACTAAATGTCTGTACTTGGATCCAATAAACTACTGTACAGATTTTTACAATTTATACATTTCTATGAAGTATATGGCTTAGGATTCTGATCTTGACCTTTACTTTTTATTAATTCATTCTCAAAAAAATGTTTTCTGTAAAAAACAACATCATTCACTTCTCTTGTTCTCCACTAGAGGCAGCACAGTCAACTTCAATTACACCATCTTTTCACAATAACATATTTTTTAAAAGTTTACAGTTTACTTTTAATGCCAGTGTGAAAATGTTTTTATTAATGAATTCATAGCCACAACAAAAACATTTTAATGTGTTTTAAGTTTTTATAACAAAAAAATTTTAATAATTTTAAGTTAAATGTTATGAAAAAATTCATAATTCTCCCTAATGACTTTGCAACACTGATACTTTCTACATTGAATGCTTTGTTTCAAAAGAATGTGTGTTCTTTAATGTAAAATCATTCGCGTGTTTTTAAACAAAAATGAATGAGTACTGTATTTTCAAATTAATTATTAATTCTGTTATGACAATAGTGAAAGAGATCTGGGCAATCTATGACAATCTGGGAAGTGATCATTAACTATTGATACTGAACAACAACAACAAAAAGAAAGATAGAGAATAAATAAAACTAGTGAATAGTGATAATTGGTTGTGCATTCATGCATGATTGACAGGCTGGCCATATGGAGTTTTCTTCATGGGTCCAACACCTAAATAGGGACCAGTTTCTTTTAAAAGTCCTCCCATGATAGATCACCCATATATTGCATTATTTACTTTTGTTTTATACACATGCAAATTACATCATTTATCTGAAAGCCAGCCAACCAAAACATCAGTTAACCGAAAGCATTCCAGTCAGAGAATTTAAATTTCCGCTAGTGCTGTGGTGCTGCAACCTTTGGCTAAGTCTTGGGCTGCTCTAATATTTTTTTTGTTGGTGTGGTGTGTTTTAGCCGGCAGCACTGGCACTTTTGTGTAGTGTTTTTCTGAGTACTGTGTATTGTGCTGAATTGGACATTTTTGATACTAGATTAACTTCTAAAGTATAATTTTTTTGTTTTTATATCTTTCAACGTATTTATTTTGTTTGTATAAAATAAAGAAATAATTTTTAGCGATACAATAGCCACAATTATTATTATAAAAATTTTCGTTAGGCTTAACACTGACAAAAATTCAATGCAAAGCGACATGCAACAGAGAAAAATTTCAACATGGGATAGGTTAATATATTTTTTCATATGTAATCAGTTATCTGAACAACCCCAGTCCCCAATTGATTCGGATAAACGGCACTCTACTGTATTTGCACAGATACACCTAATAATAATAAATACTAAAATAATCTCAAAAAATTAGATAAAAAATATTTTAGTGTTAATAATATCCAACCACTTGAGTTCAAGTGTTGATCAGTCAGCTTCTATTTGCTGTAATAATTAAAACAGAAAAAAATCAACTGTTTGGTTCTAAACAAAACCTTCTAAATAGTTCCATGAGATGATAATATTACATATAAAAAAAATGTGTATACATTTACTCACTGATTCAATTCTTCCTCTGTTGATATCTTCAGGTAGGAATTTTGCACCAATTTCTCGTAAATCACTCTAAAAAGTAATAATTTAATGTATTTAATAATTTATTGTAATAAATTCATTACAGTTTTAATTTTTTTACAAACAAGTTTAAACAATTATTAAAATTGAATAAAAAGTTAAATTTGAAAATAATTTTTTGGTCTTATAAAACAAGAACTTACAAATTTCAAAAATTAGAACAAATTTTCCAAGGTTATTACATTATTATTTGCATTTTTAGTATATAATTCTTTTTAATTATTTATTTAACCCTATATATAAATATTTAAAAATAAACTTCGCACAGTTTTTTAATAAAAATAACAAAATTTCAATTATTGCAATAGTTTTCCTTTATATAACAACAGCCTCAAATGTTTCTCCTATATGTATACCTTTATAATCAGCAATAACTACAAGTTATATTATCAGTCATTATTGATATAACTAAAAGAATATTTATTAATAGTTTCTATATTAAATGTTATTTAATTCATAAAGTTGCGTGTAAAAAATTCATAGAATTTCCTATAACAAGAATGGAGCCAATGTGTTAGATCAGTGATCACCAAACTACAGTCCGCAGGCCAGATCCGGCCCTTGAGGTCAGTTCATCCAGCCTGTGCACCGCAACTGTGCCACAAATGAGCTAAAATGTAATTACAGGTAGCCCTCGATTTACGCTGGCTCAATTTACACTGATTCACAATAATGCCACTGCACAATTCGCCATTTTGCGGTGTAATTCTTCGATTTTTCTTATGCTAGAGTGATATTCATTTCAGTGTTGACGTATTTACCGAGCTGCGACATTGTACATTCGTTAAAACAAAGATTTTTATTGAATATATTTATTTTTTCTGTTTATTATTATTGGGTATGTATACATTTGCATTAAACTAATATTAAAATACTAAACGTTTAGGTATCCACGAGTCAAGTTATTAAAGTTAATAGTCCAATAAATGGCATCCGAATCCATAGCGCCAATGAATGTATCCCGTATCAGTTCATTCAGGAAAACACCTTATGACGCAGTAACACTTCCGGCGATCACAAACTATCATTAGTAAAACAAATCTACTTCTCGTTGGCCAGACAATACTTTTTATTAGCCAGACAATATCTACTTCTTGTCAGTCAGACAATATCACTCCTTAGCCACCTTCAATTTTCCTGCTCAAACTGACCTTATATATGCACTAAGGCGACTGGTGGTCTATTAATCAGTGTCTCTGCTCGTCTGTAGCTCTACATCGGGTTAACATATCCTTTCAACTATGGAAAGTTTGACGGATAAACTTTGTGAGTTAGACAATGATTGGGAGTGAAGTGCAAATGTAAAAGGGAGCATCATCGCATCCATTCAACCATATTCTGAAATTCTTAATGAAAGAAAACAAAAATGTAAACAATTAAAAATGGATACTTTTTTCCGAAAATGTAAGAGATCAGAAACTAAAATTTTTTAATAAAAACAGTTCACTTTATTTTATGATAAAATATATTTTAAAACTTAAATTTATATGTATTTTGTATTATATTGTATTAATAAACAAAATTATTTGCTTATTTTTCACTTATGTAGAACCTAACCCTATACCTCACTGTAAATATGGATTCATTTTACGCCAATTCGATTTCCGCCCGCTTTTGTAGGAATGGAACTGCGGAGTAAATCGACAGCTACCTGTATTTATATAAAATAAAAATATCATAGATTGTAGATGAACTTACTATGTATAAAAAATTAAAATAAGTGTAAATAAAAATGCCAAAATTGGTCCAATCTGATTTTTGTATTTGACAGTAATAAAACTTTTAGGAAATCAGTGAAATAAAAAATTCAACAACATTTTGCAACTTTGGATATTGGAGCACTTTTTGTGTAAGTACCTGCAATGACGTTTCTAAGAAAAGCAATTACGAGCTTGCTGAAGCAATCATGTTTGTGTATTGGTAAATAAATATGTTGGTTTTCTTTATATTTTGTGTATTCAGTATACTATATTGAACAAAATGGTTATACGGTCCATGCTTGTTATTCTCTCAGTTATCTGGCTCTGCCACCATAGCTAAGCAGTGAATGTATGACAGCAGTAAGCAATAAAATATAACAGAATAAAAACTTCAAAAATTCAATTATATCATATAATGAATGCTGTGTGCTTTTTTTTTATAATCTCTCATTTCTTGCAAAAATATTGGAAATTTCAAACAGATTAAACAATATAAATATTAACATATATTTTTCTAATATAGGTTCTATGTATATTACATTCTACTTTGTAATGAACATGAAACTAGTTGCCTTCACACATGTAGATTAATATCAGCTATATTGTTAATCTGGGAAACATATATAAATTTATTAAATTACAGTATAAAATAAATTTTAATAAAACTAAACATAAACAAAGCTGTAATAAATTAAATAATAAAAAATATACTTTTTGCATACTTACATCTAAAGCTTTCTGAATAATTGCATTGACAGTAATATTTTCTAAACCTTCACTACATTCATCAATTCCTTCCGATGTTAAATTCCTATTTTAAAAAATCAATTTATTTAGTTCTTTGTAAAATTAAGTTATATAAATATTTAAAATAATTATTTTAAATTAATAGAGAAAGAATAATGTTATATACAACCCAAATAATATAAAATATTTCTAAATATTATAGTGTATTCATGTCTTGTCTTCCAGTTTTGTTACTTGAATAAAAACAACTCATTAAGTCCTTTGTCAAATAAAATAACAGATTGTTAAATATAATATCAGTTAACAGATAAACAAAATTGTTGTTCTTGAAATACTTTCAAAACCAGAAATAACATAATTAACCAAATAATCAGTATTTGGTTAATTATGTGAAGCCACATGTTATACTTTCTATCCCAGACATATTATACATGAGTGTCTGAACAAAATCTAATTTAAAGTCTGCATAAAATATTCACAGTAAAATTGGATCAATTTAACATACAAGGTAGGTATTTAATGTTGCTGACATTGAATATACTATGCAAATACTATCATTTTGAGATTGGGGTGGAGGGTGGTCATACCCCCACCATATACAACACTACAATACATTTACTCACACAACCAAATGTACAATTTAATCAAGTGTGTTTATTGGGTTTCAGAATGGGGAAAGATACCCTGAAACATTATTAAAATACATTGTCATCAAACTTAGAAATGACTTTAAAGTTTCAGTCTTCTATCTTAATTAGAAGTGGATGAAATTTGAGTTGCAAGACTTGAGGGCATGACACAAAGCAAGGTAACTCTAAGCTCTAGAAATTTCTTTTTTCAATGTACCTGGGGACTAAATTGCTTTTATCAACAGGCAAGAGGGGAACTTGTATAACAAAACCAGTCAAACAACTTTCCCATCAGCTGATTTCGTTTTGAACAGATTAAGTCAAATTTGGCCAACTTTGCATTTAAAAAGTTAAATAAATGCATTTAATAATAAGAATGAAATTTTAAATGATACATTCTGATTACACCTCATGTATATGATTAGTATAAAAAATATTTTTTTAAAATTCTGAACATAAATGAAGAAAATACACTGGCGGAAATTGAAAGTCTTACCCCCAGATGGAACTGATAGAAATTCAACAAAACTTAGTAAACATGTACAGAGGCATACCCAGAAGAAATGAACACAAAATGAAATGAATTGCACAAAGTTTTATTGCTATTTGGTACATGTTTCTGTAAGAGGAATGCCCATCTTGAGCATGGATACTCTCTTGGATCATTGCAGGTATTGAATCAATAAGTGCTTGAACGTCTTGTTGGGGTATATCTCTTCATACCTGCACAACTTGTGCAATCAGTTGTTGTACAATGCACGCTGGATGGCTATGACACATAATCAGTCTACCCATGGCATCCCAGACATGCTCTATAGGGAATAAATCTGGAGACCAGGTGGGCCAATCCATGATTGCAACACTTTGCAAGGCCTGTCTTGTGATGGCAGCAGAATGAGGATGGGCATTATTTTGTTGGAAGATACCATTTTGAGTGGTGTTCATGAAAGGTATGACTACTGGATGGATCACCCTGTCCACATACTGGCGTGCGGTCATTGTGCCTTCAACAACTATCAACTCGATCCTGCTGTCGTAACTGATTGCCCCCAAACCATGATACCAAAAGTTGGACCTGAGTGGCATTCCGAAATCACAGCAGGGTGGGCTCTTTCTCCAGCATGCTGGCGGACATGTTGCTGACTATCACATTGGCCTAAACAGAATCAGGATTCATCACTAAACACAACTGTATACTATTCATGTGTCCAATTACATCTAGCAGCACACCATGTTAGCCATTGTTGGCGATGAAATCTGATTAAGGGAACACATTGCATGAGGGTCCGAGATCTCAGCCCAGCATCAAGCAATCGGTTTACAATTGTCTGTGCAGTGACTCTGGCATTGAGTGGCCTTCTTAACTAGGAGAGACACTTCCACCAGACAAATCCTTTTTCAACTTTGACAATAATACATATGAAGACATTCTACATATATATACGGACGGATCGAAACATGACAATAAAGTTGGCTGTAGTTACGTAATATTCAAAGAAAACAAGGAGATAAACCATCGAAAGTTCCGGCTACACAATGACTGCACAATATTCCAAGCGGAGATGTGGGCAATATACATGGCAATAGAACATATCAACTCTACCTACAATAATCATATAAAAATACATACAGATTCTCTCTCTGCTTTTAACATCATAAAAAGTAGAAATTACACCCATTAGTAGATAAAATAAGAAAAACAATATTCTCATCTATGAACAACTTTGAAATCCTCTGGGTAAGAGCACACCAGGGAGAAACGGGGAATGAGATAGCAGACTGCTTGGCAAAGGAGGCTGCAGATGAAGAAACTCTTTCCATTTCTTACAGCAAGATAAACAAACGTACACTTAACAATATTCTGTGGAAAGACACTATCAATGGCAAATCAGATGGGATCAACACAAAGAACACACAACCTACAGCTTTGTCTCAAATTTGGAAAATTTTCTAGAAAATAAATGGTATAGCCCCAATTTTTACAACTCACAGATAATGACAAATCATGGCAGATATGCCCCTTATTTAGCAAGATTTAGCAATGGGACTTCCAAGCTTTGTCTGACCTGTATAATGAAAGACGGGGCATTACACTACTTGTTACACTGTCCCATTCTAGCTCAAGAGAGACTGGAGCTTCAAATTTTACTACAGGAACAAGGGATAAGCTGGCCTTGTAAACCGTCAGACATATGGTTGACTAAGGATGTATATAAGGCCTTTGAAAGGCTCAGTAAGCAAATATGCTATGTAACATGTAATCTAACTTATAGATAAGATTACTTTGTTATATTTGTATCATTTTCTCTATTATCTAATGCATTTATAAACTTTGTTATTTACAATTATGTAAAGTATCTACCTAATAATGTTTGTTAACAGCCATGTAATTCCATGGCTGATGACCCATTATGTCTGTCAAGCTATCCTGCACACGCAAGCCTGATGCGAGCATTGTACATATTTTGCTATTGTTATATCCACTTATATCATGTTATCCACTATTATATAGCAAGGGTGGGCAACCTTTTTTATAACATGGGCCAGAATAAATTTTACGTTTTTTCCGCGGGCCATAGTAGTTAATTGACACCTTGTGACCTGTAAATTTTTAGTCTGCAAACATGAAATAAATAAATAAATAAAAAAAAANATTGATTCTTGTTGAATTTCATTGAATAAATTATTGTTTGATTTTTACTAAATACTGTATATAGTTTATTACTAGAAGTTTAATTAAATATTTAATTTTGTTATTGACAAACTTTGTCATTATTTAATTCGGTGCACGCTTAAAATCCAGGCCTGGCACACTAACGCGAATCCGCGTAAAGTACCCGTTAGGGAACGGCTATTTCCGGCACACAGTAGTGTCGATAATCGTTGGAAAGTCGGAAAAATAATACAGTACTTTACAACACCAAAGAACGGAAACCAAACTAATAAATTAAAATAAAAATAAACCAAACTAATAATTTAAATGCTTAATTGGGACAGTAGCAGAAAAGGAATTTATTAAGTTTTGATATATTTTAAGGATCTTCCAAAAATTTGTAGACATAAATACCCTATTATCATGTAGGCCTAATGATTGGCAGAGACAAAGCGATTTTGTCTTTCGCTCAGGCAGTTCAGTTTTTCTGGAGGGGGTCACCATAGCGGGACGTATCACATGGGATACCATCTGAGATGGACCAGAATGCGAGCTATTGACTCTGCTCTGTATTGGACCAGATAATCCCTTTAAAAGCAAAGGGACAAAGATCCCCGGACAATTTTTCAAGGTCTCTCGACTGAGTTGAAAGACAGCTAGAGTTTCATTGGAAAGCATTGTGTGCATAGTTATGTCTAGATTCAAACAGCAGCCATCCAATTATTGGGACCAGCAACCAGAGCTGGCAGATTCTATGGATGCTTGTGCCAAAGTGGCCCATCTCCAAGTAAACTGTGCTCAAAGGAAGACCATCAGGTGACTTTTGGATGAACCCTTTCCTTTCTCCCTTTTTAGTTAGAACATGTTCTAACTAAAAAGAGAGAAAAGAAAAATCATTTGATCAGGAATGAATTGAATGGTCAACCCTTGTGTACGTCACTACTAATACTGTATTTAGCAACACTAGTGTGATGTAAATCAGTTATGTATCATTGTGTGTCTGGCAAATTTATAATACAAATATTTTCTGTATTTTGGTTTAATAAAGCATTAAAATAAGTACCTAATTATTATTTTTACCTACTTATTTATTTAACTATGTATTACATATTTTATTTTAGAATTTATTATTAGTTCATTTAATTGGGGCAGCTGCTTAATTTGGCCAAAATGGATTAGTTCCAACATGTCCCAATTAAGCAGAATCGACTACATATATCAAAAAACACTCAAGTACCTTATTGATTTCCAGTTACCCCATTGTATAGCATTACAAGTGGTGTGACCATCTGTTAGTTGAACTCTAAGCAAGTCAGGAGCATTGCTATAACCACTGTTTACTTTTGGTGAACTAACATTACGTATTTTCTGAATCTGAAGAACTGCTGGTCCAGTTATCTAAAATACATCAATATTAATTTTAAATAAAATAACAATTAATTAAATTCTATAATTAAGAGAACAATGTCTATTATAAAATTTTCTGGTTTAAATACTACTATATATTAAATTAAAAAATAAATTTATAATAATTTTCTATCAGCTGTAATTCTTAAATCCTAATCACATATGTTCCTTTATGCAAAAGAATAAATAGCTGAAATCAGCTTGAGAAACAAAATACAAACATTAGTAACCTTTATTTCCTAGAAAGAAAATGAAATCGTTCAGGACTAAACAACCAAAGTTGCAAATTGTTGTCAAGTAAAATCACCTGATAATGAAAAACAAAAATTGTCAAATGCTCTGTGATCCAGGATTTCCAATCTGTTATTAAGATTTTTGAAAGCAAATGGGATAAAATTTTTGTAGTAATTATTTTAAACTACTTCTAGAATGTTCTATGAATACAAATCATTATAAATGGGTATAGCCTGTTATTTTTATGCCAGTCTGTTCATTCATGGTAGAATATTTCTATGATATGTTCATTAGCTTGTTTCAACTTTGTTCCTTTGCTGTTCAATATCTATAAAACATCTTTTGATCATGGTTTCATAGATACTATTAAATTAGCTAAATAGTCATTCACTTACTGTTATCATCTACAACAATTAATTACTTTTTGTGAAAATTATCTTGCTTAATTCTTTAAACACGAAACTGGCCAAAATCAGCTTAATCCATTTGAGCGAAATTGGTCAAAGGGAAAGTTGTGACTTGTTTTGCTATACAACTTCTACTTGTAGCTTGGGGAATAAAAACAATTTTGTCTCCAAGTACAGAGAAAGAAGAAATTTTCAGAGCTTAAAGAGTTCAATAAAACTGAATACAGTTTTATTATATAGTAATCCTCAAGGCACTTAAATTAATAAACTTGGTAATTTTATAGTTTATCAGCTGGCTGGATGGTGAGGCAGTAAGGTATTAGTATACCACTCTAGGACACCCATAACTGAATCCAGACAGGTTGATAAACCCCAGGAATTTTTTGGAGATGGTATGTCCTGGATATGTTGAACTCTGTCCACATCACGCAGCCATTCACCATGGGCCTGGTTAAACCCACAATAGAACTGAAAAGGCCCTCTTAATATCTACATAGTGGAAAGAGTAAAAAAAATCTTGCAGATTATTTAGTTTATATGTACAATATATAATAATTTGAAACTATACATATATCATATATGTGGTGCAATCAAACAGTTCTGAGACTGAATCTGTAGCAATGCAAGAGGACACCACACAGTCATAAGAGTGAAGCTAGAGAGGCACATGTTCATGAATCAGTAAACAAAGTGGCAACATGCTACATTGGTTAGAGATTGTGTTATATAAATTTTTCAACAATGCCTTTGCAAACCCATCATGAACTTGACATTAAAGTGAAGAGCTACTATCAAATTCTGAGTGAATTTGAAAAAACCAGCAAGATATCTTGAAATGCTTTGGGAAGCCTATGGCAATGAAGCAATGAAGGTATGCTTTAAAAGGATCACTGAAGGATGACGAAAAGGCAGGTTAACCCTCCACATTCACAACCCCAAAACTGTTGAGAATATTTGATAACTTATGCATGTGAATTATCAGATAACCATCAAGAAATTGTCACCAAGGTCAATGTGTTGTATGGAACAGTGCAAGTGATCTTGATGTAAAAATTGAACATGCACCACATTATAGCAAAGTTTATGTCCACGTTCCCAAGCCCTGAGCAGAAGGTACACAGTGTCCTGTCTGTGATTTTAAATCATGAGTTAGTCTGGGCCCACAGTAAAGATAGCTAAGCAATGAATGATAAGGCCTAACATATCCAGGAAAGATTATCCATAAAAATTTTTTGAGTTTCCTGTCCCACACTTAAATCCATGTAGCCAGAGTTGCTGACACTTTTACTCACTTAGTCATCTGACCAGTATATGTAATATAAAATAAGTGAAATAAAATAAATGGAAAGAATGGATTGTTATTAATAAAAAGAGGACCTCCTAAACTGTACATTTTGAGAACAGAAATGACTGCTTAACACCTACAGTTTTTCTTTTATTGTTTTACTTCTATTCTCTTTTATTTATTAAATAATATTAAATATATAATAATCATACATATATCAATACACTAAATGTCTGTACTTGGATCCAATAAACTACTGTACAGATTTTTACAATTTATACATTTCTATGAAGTATATGGCTTAGGATTCTGATCTTGACCTTTACTTTTTATTAATTCATTCTCAAAAAAATGTTTTCTGTAAAAAACAACATCATTCACTTCTCTTGTTCTCCACTAGAGGCAGCACAGTCAACTTCAATTACACCATCTTTTCACAATAACATATTTTTTAAAAGTTTACAGTTTACTTTTAATGCCAGTGTGAAAATGTTTTTATTAATGAATTCATAGCCACAACAAAAACATTTTAATGTGTTTTAAGTTTTTATAACAAAAAAATTTTAATAATTTTAAGTTAAATGTTATGAAAAAATTCATAATTCTCCCTAATGACTTTGCAACACTGATACTTTCTACATTGAATGCTTTGTTTCAAAAGAATGTGTGTTCTTTAATGTAAAATCATTCGCGTGTTTTTAAACAAAAATGAATGAGTACTGTATTTTCAAATTAATTATTAATTCTGTTATGACAATAGTGAAAGAGATCTGGGCAATCTATGACAATCTGGGAAGTGATCATTAACTATTGATACTGAACAACAACAACAAAAAGAAAGATAGAGAATAAATAAAACTAGTGAATAGTGATAATTGGTTGTGCATTCATGCATGATTGACAGGCTGGCCATATGGAGTTTTCTTCATGGGTCCAACACCTAAATAGGGACCAGTTTCTTTTAAAAGTCCTCCCATGATAGATCACCCATATATTGCATTATTTACTTTTGTTTTATACACATGCAAATTACATCATTTATCTGAAAGCCAGCCAACCAAAACATCAGTTAACCGAAAGCATTCCAGTCAGAGAATTTAAATTTCCGCTAGTGCTGTGGTGCTGCAACCTTTGGCTAAGTCTTGGGCTGCTCCAATATTTTTTTTGTTGGTGTGGTGTGTTTTAGCCAGCAGCACTGGCACTTTTGTGTAGTGTTTTTCTGAGTACTGTGTATTGTGCTGAATTGGACATTTTTGATACTAGATTAACTTCTAAAGTATAATTTTTTTGTTTTTATATCTTTCAACGTATTTATTTTGTTTGTATAAAATAAAGAAATAATTTTTAGCGATACAATAGCCACAATTATTATTATAAAAATTTTCGTTAGGCTTAACACTGACAAAAATTCAATGCAAAGCGACATGCAACAGAGAAAAATTTCAACATGGATAGGTTAATATATTTTTTCATATGTAATTGGTTATTCGAAAAATAAGTTAGCCGAACAATCCCAATCCCCAATTGATTCGGATAAACGACACTCTATTGTATATATATTCTCACCAATTAGCTGATTTGTCAATAATTAATTAATTAGCAACATAAAATAAAGTTTAACTTGTTTAATTAACACATCACTCAATAAGTCTCTGGTCTAACTAAGAAAAGCAATTTTTTTTTAGAAATTCAACTTTATTCATAAACTTTCCTTCAAGAGTGATACATTCATTCCAATGCTCCTTTAACTTTTCAATGCCTTTTTTGTACAACGATTTATCTTTGCTCTCAAAATAGGCCTCAGTTTCAACAATCACTTCTTCATTTGAGCCAAATTTCTTTCTCTGGAGCATCTTTTTGATGTCTGCAAAAAGCCAGTAGTCGCTGGGGGCTAGATCTGGAGAGTACAGTGGGCAAGGAAGCAATTTGAAGTGTAATTCATTCAATTTAACCATCATTTTCATTGACTTGTGACACGGGGCATTGTCTTGGTGGAAGAGCACTTTTTTCTTTTGCATGTGAGGGCATTTTTTCTTGATTTATACACTCAATCGATCCAATAGTGCCATGTAATAATATTCACTATTGATAGTTTTACCTTTCTCAAGATAGTCGATGAACAAAATACCATGCGTGTCCCAAAATACAGATGCCATAACCTTGCCAGTTGATTTTTGAGTTTTTGGTTGCTGTGGACGATATTCACCAGCTGCTGTCCACTCAGCTGACAATCTTTTTGATTCAAGTGTGTAGTAATGGATCCATGTTTCATCCATTGTCACATCACATACTGACGCAAGAAATCATTTTTATCTCACTTGAACAGCTCCAAACAGCACTCTGAATCATCGACACATTGTTATTTTTGGTCCTGTGTGAGCAAACGTGGCACCCTCTTTCGTGTAAAATTGTAAACACACTACTTTCTGATATATTTAAGGTATCAGCTATCTCACACAAGTTCACTTTATGGTCTTTCAAAACTATTTTGTGGACTTTTTTTATGTTTTCCAGAACAACTGCCAATTTTGGGCGACCAGAACATTCAGCATCATCGGTGTTTGTACGACCACATTTAAATTCAGCATACGAGTCAATAATAGTTGATTTCCCTGGTGCAGTGTCTCCATAATGTTTATCAAGCCACTGTTTGGCTTCAACAGTATTTTCCCCCATGAAAAAACAATGTTTAATCAACACATGAAATTCTTTTTTATCCATTGTTTTGAAAATTACAAAACTGGGGTCACTAAAACCACTGTAATCTGTAGATTAATTATCAGAATGTCATGAAATTTTGACATGTTTTGTTTGAAGGTTGGTACTATCCAGAAACCATATGGGTCTGTCAACAGTGTTGTAATATATGTGTCAGACCAGAGACTTATTGAGTGATGTGTTATTAATTAACAACTTAATATTACAAATAACATGTAATGAATTTAATTTGTAAAATCATCTTAAACTTTAATATCTTAAAATCAAAACATACAAAAAGTTACCTGGCATAATTAACACAATCATTATGTGCTTCATTCACATAATTCACTAATTTGTGATTAAGA